CTCTACGTTTAACTCATTTAGTTTCTTTGTCTGTCTGTCATATTCTAGTTTCTTTTCGTTTTCACTTATTTGTTTCTGTATGTCTATGTTTGACTTTTTGACATCTGTTATTTGATTTTTGAGTGAACTCAAATTCATTTGACTTTGAGGGTTATAAGCTGTTCCGTCTGCAGCTCCACCATAGCCTGCCATTTTCGCTAAAAGTGCCGCTCTTAAACCTCCACTCTGTGCACCAATAACTCGGTTTAAAAGCATAGGGTTGCTTGACATTTGTTGCAACATAGTGGGGTCATTCATCATTTGTTGTTGCAACTGTTGTTGTGGTGTCAGTTTTACTATTGGATGTTTCAATGCTCCCTTCCTCTTACGTATATTCTTACGTAGCTTACGTGGCATTTTAAGTGAAGTTAAAAAGCGGTTTTTGACAGATGTTTATATGACACTTTTTGTTCAGCACAAAAAACTACTCGGTCAAAGTGTTGTCAGTTTTGTAAAATAACCGTCCTATCTCATTCTATAATGGAGAAAAGGCTTCTCAAAGTATACTTCCTTGGAATGCCTGTAACTTTTCCTGTAGCGACGATAGACCCTTACTTGTCCGGACAAAGTTATACTATTTTGAGTGCTCTACAAAAAAGTCAACGGCGACGACTCTCAAAAACCGTTGTGTAAAAAGTTTTACCGTTGGACAAAAAAGTATATATAGAAAACAAAAAACGTTTATAGTTCATTCAATATTTGAGATAAACCGTTTTTCTAACGGTAACTATTAAATAAAATAAAAAAATAGAGGGGGTTACCGTTGACGAAAACGGTTTATCTCAAATATTTAAATATCTGTCTTTTTTGGTCAGTTCATTTTTATCTAATGGAAGCCAACGCTGTTAACCACAATTCAAACATTAACAATTCTCAACCGCTAACCAAAGCCAAAGCTCCACAACCTCCAAGAACTGGCACAGCGGTTAGAATAACCACCAAAAAGTCTAACAGCGAATTAAGAGAAATTCTTCAACAAATTTGCTCTAAATATCTCAAAGACGCCGAAGAAAACACACAACCAGACGCTACATACAATACTCAGTTCTGTGAAGTTCTGAACAAAGCAATTACTAGTTCAATTGAACTTACTAAGACAATTCCAAGTCCAATTGAGCTTAGCGATGTCTTAGTTCAGTATTTTCCAACATTTACTAAGCTTATAATGTTGAGAACTTTATACCAAGTTCGTCAAAATCTTCCTCGTTACATCCAACGGTCATTCGACAAGAGAATTGCCGAATTCCAAGTCTTTAGTTACGGATATGACGAAGATGAATACGTTGACGAGTTCGGAGACAACCGTACAAAATGGTTTGAATATTATACGACAACACAATTTGAATTCGACTTTCTCGAATTCAACGCAGCAACCATTCATATCATTGCTCTTTACCTTTCCGAACAACAACAAGACCTCGCAGATGGAGATGTTGTTACTGTCGTCATGAAAACTCCTGAACAATTCGGAAAAAAGAAGTCTCTAATTGCCAAATTCGTTCCAGGACATCAGCTTTTCCAACGCACAGAAGTCTTCTGTATTCCTGGAACTAAGTTCTTTGTCAGGAGCGAACTCAAAGAAAGATATAATGTGTCATTCAATTACACATTATATAATGTTTTCGACCCAGAAGAAGGCTTCTTCCCAGAAGCAATGGAGGAGGAAGAAGAGGAGGAAATACAAGACTCTATCCAAGAAGAGTCCTCCGAATTCACACCAGAAGACTAACAATTTTCCGAATAAAAACTTCATTTATACTAAACATCTTCGGGGCTAGAGGGCGCAACGCGCCTGGAAGCCCCACTTACCTGACCTAAATATTGAAGATATACATATTGTTATATTGTTTTGTAAAAGAATTTATAGAACTTTTTAAAAAACTGTTTTTGCAAAAATCTCGGGAACATAATCCCCTCAATTTTATTTGAGAAATTCGTAAACTATTCAAAATTGAGAGCCATGTTCCCGAGATTATTGCATTACTATATTTTTGTATGTAGATTATGTTTTATAATTTAATCAGAATTAAGTAGCAATTGTACAATTGGCCAAACAAGATATATCGTCGTTCTTAAAACTTCATCAAATTGTTAAAAAAGTTAGAAGTAATGGATTAATGCTTGCTATACTCAATTTATGTTTTAATTTTTTTTATCAAATGTAACATTGACAGCTACACAGAACTTCAACAATCATTTTCTTATTTATTGTAATATCGATAACTTAATAGAGACTGGTATGAAATTGCATAGTAAGTATATTCAAAATATGCTTTACACATTTTGATTTTTTTATTTCATTGCGCCATATGAATAATGCGTCTATTTTAAAGATATTACAAATTGTCAACTATTGGATTACGAGTCGATTTTGAATTTATTCAAAAAATTGAATATAAATCGACTTTAAATAGATTATTTTCAAAATTAATTTTAATATTCTTTATATACGTTCCAATTTCCAGTTTCTAATACTTTCAAACATTTTTCTATATGGAATAATGCATCGTTCACATTAATTGGTGAACCATATTCTAAATGATGAGCAGAGATTGAATCATATTGTAACTCAAATAATTTACAACTTAAACAGAAACCTGCCAGAGAATTTTCAGGGAAATTCGCTGTAACGCATATAACAACAGTATTGTCGGCCATAAAAATGCATTTACAAATGTTTGAACCTACAGGAGAGAAAAGAAACTTAATCTTTTTGAAATCCCTGGCGCATTCAATAAGATTTGTATGATTATCTGGAATAAATTTCCAATCAATTGTTGGGAACTTTGCTTTTGCTGAATTTATTACTTCATCAAGATTATGAATATGCCTTCTCTTGCCTTTAGGCCTGTTTGTAAAGCAGTATTCAGATGGTGTAATTTTATCTAATTCGAATTTTTCATGCAAGAACCGTTTAAATCTGTAAGTGTTTGGCCCCCATTGACTGATGTAAAAGGTTCTATTTGCAAAACAATGGAGTATATCAGCCGAAATATATTCACCTTTATTTTTTGGTAAATATATTCTTCGATCTGGTAAAAAGCCTAGAAGATCCAGGAGTGTATTATAGAGAAATGGCATTGAGAATACAATAATATGTGATCTCCTTCTAATTTCTTCAGGAATTAAAAATAGTGGAGTGAAAAAATCTTCAAATGAATGGCCAAAATTATATGTTGCCCATAAATATCCTGTAACAATAACCTCGCGGTAATGGCCTACAACACTTGCATTTGTAGCGTTCCTTTCAAAATCTGTTGGTTGGAAAATGGTGTTTTCATCAAGACCTACAGCACCATTAAAGCTAACATATGCTCTTTCAAGTCTATAGTGTGTAGTCTGAAGTGTCTTGTAATAAAAGTTGTAGTCGTGTGTTTCTTTCGGTTTTCTATATGAGAAATGGTATTGCGTAGGATCTTCTATTGTTTCATTTATATATCGTAATACTGGCCAATTTTTTTCTAGAGGCACATCAATTTTGCGCTTAACTTTAAAGAATGATGCCGGTGTCCAATCCGGAGTTTCATATCCGAATAAAGCAAATTCTGGATTATAAGAATAAATTTCTAGGGCTACAAGAAATGAACAACTTACTAGTAATGAGAAAAGATCGCAAATAAACATACTCTGACACTCTAATATTAATTTCTGAATCGGTTTTACATCATTGAGCAATAATTATTAAATCTTGAAAATTAAGGCTGTATATGTAAGATTCCTAAAGGGATCAAAACTCTGACATAGAAAAAATTATATTTTTGAGATACAAATGGGTCGGTTTGATCATTGAATTAAATTCAATTTTTATATCACCTCAATCAATTATTTGTCTGCTGATAGAGTTGTTAGATTCCCGACGATAGGTGTCTTGGAAGATTTGCCTGGTGTCATCATAGTGTCTTTAAATCAAAAATTTTATTTTGGAGTTAGTTTTATTGATTTTTCAATAAAAAACATTTCTAAAACAAGAAAATAAAACGATAAAATATTTATATTTTATATAAGGATCTTATATATTTAAAATAAATATCATTTTATTTTTTTCATTGGTGTCTGTCAAACTTACCTGCCATGGACTCTTTCATAAGTTCCATGAAATCGTCTTCGGACAATCTGGGGAAAAGTATTATGTCAGTAAGTATTCTTTTAACATCCTTACTTAAACTCTTTGCTGTCTGTACACAAATGACAACTGAGATGTTAAAGTGTCTGAGCTTCTTAAGAATTCGACACATATCTTGTTCTCTGTTCTTTAACAAAGGATGAGAGGCGAAATCATCTAAGATAAGAAGACATCTATGAGGGTAAGTCTTCCAATCGTAAGATTGCAATTTCTTCGAAATGTATTCTATCTCTTTCTGTTTGTTTCTGAAGTGGTGTTTGTCTAATATTCTCTGCATTTCCTCATTAGGTTCTTTAAACTTCGAATTTATATACTCATTTATAGCATTATACTTCAAAACTCTTCTTTGGTACTTCTTTATCCAATCTAACAACTCAGTATCCTTTATACATACTAACTTAGACTTCTTTATAATATCTTTGAACGAATTGACGGTTTGGTCAAATTGACCAGAAGTACTACAAATAACAACTAACTCATAAAATGGGTTCTTCTCATCTAGTTCTTGTTGTTGTGCAGCCATTTTAAGATAAGTGAAAGTCTTACCCGACCCAGGTGGTGCAATTAGACCTGTTATACCATTCTGAGCAAATAAGAACTTTTCATGTATAGGCTTTATCTGAGCATTTTCTAACTTCCTCTTGTTCTTGTTTAAAACATTCTCAAATTTCTTGTCAATGTCAGCAAACTTTTTTCTAACATATTTTTAGAAAAATTAAAATTTTTATCTTTTAGAAAATGTCTAGCGATTTCGCTATCTATATTCGAGACAAGCTTTTCGACAGCAAAACATCTGTAGACCATAAAACCTTACATAATGTAAACAAGAAAGGTGAATTTGTTCTAAAGTTCTGTTTCTGGGAATATGACAAGAACCATAAAACATTACAAAGAGCAGTCTTAAAATTTGTCAATGACAGACTTGTTGACAGAGATGACGCCGATTGGAAAGATGAAGTCCAACAAAAGTTCTTAGAATGCAAAGAAGACACATGCGCTGTTCTTGAAGATGAAATAGAAAACAGAATAGAAGAGCTATTAAAGGACAAAGAACTTTTACATAGATATGGTTCTGAGAAATTTGACATATCTCCACCAGAGAAGAAGAAGAAAGAAAAGAAAGAAAAGAAAGTAGAAGAAGAGAAGAAAGAACCAGAGCCAATTCCACCGAAGAAGAAATTTGACATGTAAAAATAAAATTTTATTTTTAGAACATTTCTGGGTCAATGTCAATGTTCTCTTCCTCTTTAGGAGTAAACACTGGCTTAGACTCTAATAGCTTTTTACCCAATTTACCTTGAACTTCTACAACTTTAGACTCATAATATTCATAGTCGTCTGTCTTCTTTGGTTCATAAGGTATAACAAGTTTGTATGCTTTGCCTTCTTTAAGGTTTGAGAACCTTCTGTCAAAACTTTCTTTGACTGCTAACAAACCTTCTATGTCTAAGTCTTCAAATTTCGCACCATTTTAGTCACAATAGCAAACTTAACTGGTTCGATGTTCCAAACTTTGCTGAATGAAGACTTTTCAAAATGGTAGAAATAAACATTCAAATATGTGAATGGGTCTAGTTCTTCTTTAACTCCTGACATGTACTTGTTTACTGAAATCTATTTCGTCATCTTTTCTATCGGATAAAAAATATTTTTTTTTAAAATTTACTCAGAAAAAATTTTCTTTGTATATACACCATTCTGAACATCTAAAAGACTTTTGACATTTGCCAAGAATGTTCGTTTAGACGCTGGCATATAACCATACTCTTGACAATATTGTTTATACGAATCGTACAATGACCTTTCATCTAATGACACAAAGTCAGTTTCATCTACGAACAGTTCATAAACACTCTTGTTTGCTTCTAACAATGTTTGTCTCTCTTCGGTATGTGGAATTTGTCTTGGATTGAACTTAGAAATATCTAATGTCATGAAATATGAGAACAAGTGGTTGTAAAAGTCAGATGTCAAACATTCTGACAAAGCGTCAAAATATTCAGTATCTTGCATATGAGCTTCTGACGTTCTGACAACTACATATCTTCTGTCAGAACTTTCTAACTGCATCGGAACAGCATTGTTTGAAACCATAATGAAGTTTGCAACATTTTCACAAACTCTTTGGTCTTTATACTTTCTTTCAACAACTCCAACTTTGTCTGTTATAAGACTCTTCAAAGCATCTGAGTTCAAAACTTTTGTTGTATCTATACTTTGAAGTTCATTGCAAACTATAAGTTTCATATTCTCTATTGAGGAGTTAAACTTGCCACAGATGTTTTCTAAGTTTGTCATATTCGGATTCGAATAACCTTCTAACAGTTTGCACAAAATATCTGTAAAGAAAGTATTCTTACCAGTTCCTTGTTTTCCAATTATAATGAGAGCAGTTTCATTTTTAGCACTTGGATGTTGTAAGATATTTGCAAACCAACATAAGATATACTCATAAACCTTTTCGTTTCCATTGCATATAATTTCTTTGACATGGTCTAACCAAGCTTCTATAATACTGTGTTTCCATTCTACTTGTTCGTATTTATATCCAGTGAAGATAGAATAGAAGTTTGGAGAAGGTGTATAGAACTTTATACCTCGAACTGAAAAATCTTCTAACTTTGACAATAAGATATCCCAAGCATCTAACATCTTCATGCCAACTTGTACAACTTTTATTTTCTTAAGTTTCTGTCTACATTCTTGTTCAGACACTATTGTTGCTCTTGGTTTGTTAAAGACAACATCCCATTCTTTCATGACATAACATTCTGGGGCAGAGTCAACATAAATGACTAAACGTTTCAAATTCTCGACTGCTTTGTTATAGTCTCTAAATGGACACATATTTCTGAATGCTTGGAAGTCATAAAAATCTGAAACATCTATTCTGTACATTTTTATAAAAATAAAAAAAAATATTATTTTTTTATTCTTGACTTTGTTGTTCCATTTGTTGCATTTGTTGTTCTTGAGCTATTTGTTGTTGAAGTTGTTCTTGTAATACAATACTTTCACCAGTTGCATCTTCCAATTCGAAACTTTCTGCCGTCATTGACAAATACATAGGACATAAAAGTTTTACAGGAACAAAGTTTGCGTCAACTAATGTCAACGTTATACTTGCCAAAGTGTTTGAGTTCACTAAGGTTGAAAATTCTGCATTCGAATGAACAATAGGCAAACCAGCAGAGAAAGTATTGTTTATACGCATAAGTATCTTTTGGTCATAATAGTTTCTGTCGACATTCGAATAACACTTTGAACCTAAGTTTGAAACAATATATAAGATTGGTGTGCTTAATGTCAATGGAATAGACATTCCTTGTATGACACCTTTTCCTGTTATAGGAAACTGTTGGTAGTAAAAACCAGAAATAAGTTTTGTATTATAGCTCATATCGTTTATAGTAAACTCAGTCGGACATCCAAACATAATGAAACCTGCTCTAGTTGCAGCACATGTTACACCCGTACCTTAAAGTATTAAATAAGTCAACAAAACCTGTTGGTGGTATATCTGAGTAAGTATCTTCAAAGGAGTATTTTTTACCATTCACAACAATAAAGTCTTCTGGTGTCAAAAGAGCAAAACAGGCTTTAGTCGTCATTGTGTTTAAGGTTAGTTTACAATATCGTCCTTGAGGACTTTGTAAGTTTGTTGTTATAGAATTATATGACTCAGGGTTTTTAGTCGTAATAGTATAAACCATTATGTCTTCTGCCATTTACTTAGCAAATAAACTTTAATGAAATGTTGTGGTCGTCAAATATTTTTATAACGTCTGGGAAACTATATTTTAAGTTCAACGTTTCACCTCCTTTCATAACGTATATCTTGTCAATGACATTATATGAAACACCACAGCAACCAATGTCGGGTTCTATTTCTTTGATGTTTATATCGTCTGCCTCTGTCAAAAGTTTCAATAGTTCTTTCAAAACTTCATGAGGTGCAATGACATATGAGTTCACTTTTACAGGGTTGTGTTCGCCCAAGTTTAACATTATACTTAAAGCTTGACAAATCTTCTCCTGAGTTTGAAGTTTGTCTTTCAGTTGTTGGTAGTCGTTTCGAATATCTGCAACAGAACTTAAGTCTCTGTTAACTTCAGGATATGTTGGTTCTTTTACAGGAACAATTGTTATACCATCTTCGTCTTCGTATGGTTTCCCCACTTCAACATCTCTGTCTTTGACATTGACAATAACACTTTGACTGTTTGTTTGGGTTGGTGAATTTAACTTAACATCTGCCACCGCCATTAAACCTTTTGAAACACTTACGCTTCTATTTTTCGGAAATGACATTTTACTTAGAATAAAAAGATGGACGTATTCGGATATCTTATTGAATTGAAGCAGAACAAAGTTTATACTCACAAACAATACAAATACATTGACAGAATAGTTCTTTACACAAACAATGGAAAATGTTATAGAATAGCAGTCTTTGCTGAACCTAAATATTTTCATAAAGCAAAGAAAGTTGGTATAACTGAAATGGTGAAAGTTCTTGAAGCAGACAAAAATATAACTTCAAAACTTACAGATATTACTAAAGGAAAGTTTATAATACAATATTATGTCAAAACTGGCGTACTGTCAATATTTGACGGAGAGAAGTCAGTTCAAGAACAACTTACTGACCTGCTGCCAAAATCTGCTCGATGGAAGCTGTCGTTATGCCAATCTGAGGAGCCCCAGCAGGTTTCATCGAACGAATCTTCAAAAGAGCATCTTCCGTGAAAAGTGCTATTGGTTTTGTAAACTTCTTTGCTCTCAATTCATCTGGACCGTCTCTGTCACCAGTATATTGTATTTGAACTGTACCAACAGTTGAAATACTACCCATAAAGTCTTCTGAGTCAGCAAATGGAATGCCAAGCCAAAAGTTTGAACGGTCTCCATTTGTATATTGAGTTTTTTGACCTCCTGTATGAGTCCATACTTTCACATATGGCATAATAGAACTTTGCATTTCAGGGTTAATAGTTGTTGTGAAGTTGTTGTTAAAGTTCATAGCATCTAATGTCAAGTTGTATGACCTCATATCCTCAACTGTAGAATATTCTTCTCTTGGATAATATTTGCCATCTATGTTTATATGATATTTAATACCAGGGTTGTAGAAACAAGAATAGTCATTTATAGTTCGTCTGAACAGTACAAACATAGTATCTGCATGTTTCATTGCAGTTGTTAAAGCAATATCTGTTCTTGCACCTGCGGCTCCTGGATTTTGGTTTCCAACTTCACCTGCAAAGTCTTTGACAGATATTTGGTGTATAGGGAACATAAGTGGAACTGCAATATATTTGGCAGCTAAAGCATTTGAAATATCTGGGTCCAACATATAGACTGCAAGTCTGCTTTCTATTCTCTTGCATTCAAATTTTTCGCATGTGAACTTAACTGGGTCCCAAGCAGTTCCAGCAGCATTGAAATAATAGTTTACTTCATTGTTGAAGTTTGAGAAACCAAAGTCTAAGTCAACTTTGTCTTTGCAAAATTCGACGAATGACGTTTGATTTGTTCCCTTTACGTCTGTAATAGTGAATGGGTCTTGTGTTGGTGCAATGACTAAGTTATTTTTGCTTGGAGTAAGTTCGATAGAAATTTTTCCTGCCCAGTTTGGCAAGTATCTTAAAAACCTGAAGATGAGGAAAGATGACAAAGGAACTCTAAGTTTCAGTTTTACTTTAGTGGCAGCAGTTCCATCTGAACCAGAAAGGTTAACATAAACTCCTGGAACGTTAGGGTCAAGTCTTCTTATTTTCTCAATAGTTGCATACTGGTCTGTTTGTTCTCTAGCTTGTGGTTGTACTGAGTTTCTCAAAGCGAACCATTCATAGTTTGCCCATGTTACTGTTTGAACTAAGTCAGAGTTAGAATATATCTTATATCCCATGAAAACTTCTGGAGCATATTGGTATCCGACATAGAAAATTCCATTGCAACCTTTCTTGTCAGACAACTTGGAAGAAGGTTTTATTTCAATGTCTTGTTCCACGTATAAGAATGAGTTGTCAATAGAAATAATATGAAACCTGTCGCAAGCAATATCTACTGTTGTTGAAGAACCTTCTCCAAACTCACCTACGTTTCCATAAGAAACAGCAGTTGTATATTCGTAAGTTCCAGGAACTATTTCTGACCTTCTAATGGCATTATCGCATTCGTTATACCATTCGGAAACATTTCCGTTCATGGCATCCAAAACTGTTGGCGTTATATTCTGAGCGGCGTACATTTCATATGGGTAAAAATATAGAATAGTTGGATTTATATGTCATAATAGAACCCACTCGGACCAAGCTTTACTTTCTTCCTGACTGAGTTTTTAACTGAATCTTTAACTCTTCTTTTTCCTTCATTGCCACTACTTTCACTAGATGAAGTTACTTCTTCACTACTTTCACTTTGTTCTACTCTTCTTCTTTGGTGTCGCTTTTGGTAACTTGCCCTCTGCTTCAAGTTGTAGCATCTTTGCCTCATGTTCACCTAGTATGTTGTAAATTTCCCATGTCCTTTTTGCCTTTGGGCTCTGGTCGCCCATCTCAGGTAACCTATATCCTAGAAAGATTTTGTCATAGTTTGTATTTGAGTCTTCGCTTATTGTTTGCATGACTCTTTCCTGAGTTTCCGGTTCAAGCTCTTCAAACAGAGCTTGTCCATATGGAATAAGCTCGTTTCCAAATATATGTTTTTGTAGCCATTCTGGTTTTCTTTCCATGTAACCAATAATATCTTTTGTGAATGGGAAAGCTTTTACCCAACGTTTCAGTCTTGCGTCATTTATTTCTGTAGTTGGTTTTATTTTGTCATGGAACATGTTTTTCAATACTAACATTTCATTTGGTACTGTCCATTTGAGTTTTCTTAAATATTCATCCCTTCTCATTTCATTGTCTGCAAAGTAAGTTTTTATGACATTTTGCAAACTTTCGTTTGCAAGGTCATGTACAATAGGTTCTCTTCCTTCTCTCTCCCTAACTTTCTTTCTAAACTCTTCACCAAATATACCATCTCTATGGTTCTGTGTAGTTCTTTGAGATAAATGTTCTAGAACGTCAGGTGTTATATTTCCCTCAGCCATGTTCATTTCATACTGGTCCAAAATATCTGCATCTTTCATATCTTTCAATGGCATTAAAGCCGCGCTGAAAATACCCTTATATCTGGTTCACCATTCACTTCCATTGCGTCTACAACTTCTTGGAATTGAGGTTGTAAGTTTATGAACCACCTATCCGGATTAGCTTTATGACCCCATTTCATTGTAGTTCCATAGTCTGCAGAAACAAAAGTAGGTTTGTTTCCATATTGGTTAGGTTCTGAATGAACTTTAAACAATGTTTCATTTCTATATGTTTTGTTGAAATTTAACCTTTTATTTTCACCGAGTTCAGCCAAAGATTGAACGTTATATGGTCGTAAGTAAAAAGGATTATTGTATTTGCGTACATTTTCTTTCAGTACTTCCATTCTATGCTGAATATTTTCATCTGATGTTGGAGTCTTTTGTATGTCGGTGAACATTTTTCGATATTCTTCTACTATGTCAGCCGAATTTTTCTTAGACTCTTGGAAAGATTCCATATTCACCTCATACTCTTGTTGAGGGTCAAGATTTTTCGGCTGTTCCAAATCTTCATCTAGTTCTGTGAAGTTAGTTTCCAAAGGAGGGACTTGTTCGTTTCCTTCAGGCTCTTCTAGCTGTTGTTGCTGAACTATTTCTTCCATGTCTGGTTGTATCTGAACTTCTTCCTGTGGAGTTTCTTGTACCTCATCTGCTGGCATTTCATATATTCCGAGACCGTTTTTAACAAGTTCCCTATCTAAGTCATCCGGACTCATAAACCTTTCTTCTTTCGTTCCGTCTCTATTTTTTACGCGTTTCATGAAGAGAGTTGAATTATCATTTAGCTCTGACATCAAATATCTCGGAGTAAATTCATTCATGTCATTTGGATGATATGCTATTAAATCATATCCCTTAGCGAGCTTGTATTTTCCAGGTTTGAGATTATATCCGATTTGATGCTCAACCATAAAGCTAAATAGGTTCGGGTCAGTATTTCCTTCCTTGAACTTTCTAATAGCTTCTTTATATCTGTCACTAAAGTCAAGAGTATCTGGGTAACCATAATCTTCCTTAAGCATTTTTAAGAATTCTTGGTTTCCTTTTTCTCTACTTCTTTTATGTCCTTGCTCTGTTTGTGGTTGTTGTTGTGCAGGGTTTTGAACTGTTGGTTGCTGTGCTGGTTGTGGAGGTGGTTGTTGTGCTGGTTTTGGTTGTGGTGCAGGTGCTGGATTTTGAACTGTTGGTTGTTGTGCAGGGTTTTGAACTGTTGGTTTTGGTTGTTGTTGTGGTGCTGGATTTTGAACTGTTGGTTGTTGTGTTGGTTTTGGTGCATGCCTGTGTCTGTGTCCATGTGACGATGTAAATGTTTTAGGTAGTCCTGGTGCAGGTGCTTCTCTTGGAGGGTTTGGTGGTATATAAGTTCCACCAGCTGGCACATATGTTCCATCTGCAGCATAATGTCCTACCTGACTTTTCGTTTTTAAGAAAGCATTTACTAGGTCTGTTTTGGTCTGTTGTAACTCTTTTTCTTGACTTTCCACAACAGTTGCTCTAACGGCGTCATAGGCACTTTGAACTGCCTGTCTCGTTGCTGCATCTGTTATTTTCGTCATATTTTGTGCTACTTCTCTTAACTCTTTGTCGAAACCTTCAGACTTCAGTTTCTTTCCAGATGAGAAGTCGTTCACTAGTTTCACCTTACTATGAAGAGCTTCGAAGGCATTCTTAAAGTCAGCATTCATTAAAGCTTCATTTGAACTGTCTTCATCCGCTTGTATTTTTGTCCTTATTGACCCTATAAGTTGGGCTGCTTTAGCGTTGGCTTGGGCATCTAACCAGTCATTATTAGCTTTTATATATTCTGCGCTTTTCATTGCCTTTTGCATGGCTGCGTCGTTATTTTAACTTTCTTGTGCTAAGTTTTCATACTGTACGGTTTGGTTTTGCAACTGTAAAAGTTTTTCTGCCTTTACATTTGCTTCAACTTCTTTTTTATACTCATCGCTATCCATATATGTCTTCATGGCTTTTTGTTTTATCTCTTCATCTTTCAGTACTTTATATTGAGTAGTATGGTTTTTCAAATTTATAATCTTGTTCCATTTTTGCTACTTCTGCTGCTTTTTCTGACACTTTTTTCGCATATTCCTCTGTACTTAGTTCTTTCAGTTGTTCTTCTTTCTTTAACAGTCATTAATATAGCCTATTTATATATTCTGCGCTTTTCATTGCCTTTTTGCAATGGCTGCGTCGTTATTTTTACTTTCTTGTGCTAAGTTTTCATACTGTTACGGTTTGTTTTTGCAACTGTAAAAGTTTTTCTGCCTTTACATTTGCTTCAACTTCTTTTTTATACTCATCGCTATCCATATATGTCTTCATGGCTTTTTGTTTTATCTCTTCATCTTTCAGTACTTTATATTGAGTAGTATGGTTTTTTCAAATTTATAACATCTTGTTCCATTTTTGCTACTTCTGCTGCTTTTTCTGACACTTTTTTCGCATATTCCTCTGTACTTAGTTCTTTCAGTTTGTTTCTTCTTTCTTCTTTTTCTCTACGTTTGTAACTCATTTAGTTCTTTTGTGTCTGTCATATTCTAGTTTCTTTTTCGTTTTCACTTATTTGTTTCTGTATGTCTATGTTTGACTTTTTTGACATCTGTTATATTGATTTTTTTGAGTGAACTCAAATTCATTTTGACTTTGAGGGTTATAAAGCTGTTCCGTCTGCAGCTCCACCATAGCCTGCCATTTTCGCTAAAAGTGCCGCTCTTAAAACTCCACTCTGTGCACCAATAACTCGGTTTAAAAGCCATAGGGTTGCTTGACATTTTGTTGCAACATAGTGGGGTCATTCATCATTTGTTGTTGCCAACTGTTGTTGTTGGTGTCAGTTTTTACTATTGGATGTTTCAATGCTCCCTTCCTCTTACGTATATTCTTACGTACTTACGTGGCATTTTAAGTGAAGTTAAAAAGCGGTTTTTGACAGATGTTTATATGACACTTTTTGCTTTCAAGCACAAAAAACTTACTCGGTCCAAAGTGTTGTTCAGTTTCTGTAAAATAAACCGTCCTATCTCATTCTATAATGGAGAAAGGCTCTCAAAGTATACTTCCTTTGGAATGCGCTGTAACTTTTCTGTAGCGACGATAGACCCTTACTTGTCCGGACAAAGTTATACTATTTTGAGTGCTCTACAAAAAAGTCAAACGGCGACGACTCTCAAAACCGTTGTGTAAAAAGTTTTACCGTTGGACAAAAAAGTATATATAGAAAACAAAAAACGTTTATAGTTCATTCAAATTTTGAGATATAACCGTTTTTTCTAACGGTAACTATTAATAAAATAAAAAAATAGAGGGGGTTACCGTTGACGAAAACGGTTTATCTCAAATATTTAAATATCTGTCTTTTTGTGTCAGTTCATTTTTATCTAATGGAAGCCAACGCTGTTAACCACAATTCAAACATTAACAATTCTCAACCGCTAACCAAAGCCAAAGCTCCACAACCTCCAAGAACTGGCACAGCGGTTAGAATAACACCAAAAAAGTCTAACAGCGAATTACGAGAAATTCTTCAACAAATTTGCCTCTAAATATCTCAAAGACGCCGAAGAAAACACACAACCAGACGCTACATACAATACTCAGTTCTGTGAAGTTCTGAACAAAGCAATTACTAGTTCAATTGAACTTACTAAGACAATTCCAAGTCCAATTGAGCTTAGCGATGTCTTTATGTTCAGTATTTTCCAACATTTACTAAGCTTATAATGTTGAAATCTTATATACCAAGTTCGTCAAAATCTTCCTCGTTACATCCAACGGTCATTCGACAGAGAATTGAGAATTCCAAGTCTTTAGTTACGGATATGACGAAGATGAAATACGTTGACGAGTTCGGAGACAACCGTACAAAATGGTTTGAATATTATACGACAACACAATTTGAATTCGACTTTTCTCGAATTCAACGCAGCAACCATTCATATCATTGCTCTTTACCTTTCCGAACAACAACAAGACCTCGCAGATGGAGATGTGTTACTGTCGTCATGAAACTTCCTGAACAATTCGGAAAAAAGAAGTCTCTAATGCCAAATTCGTTCCAGGACATCAGCTTTTCCAACGCACGAAGTCTCTTTGTATTCCTGGAACTAAGTTCTTTGTCAGGAAGCGAACTCAAAGAAAGATATAATGTGTCATTCAATTACACATTATATAATGTTTTTCGACCCAGAAGAAGGCTTCTTCCAGAAGCAATGGAGGAGGAAGAAGAGGAAGGAAATACAAGACTCTATCCAAGAAGATCCTCCGAATTCACACCAGAAGGACTAACAATTTTCCGCATAAAAAACTTCATTTATACTAAAACATCTTCGGGGCTAGAGGCGCAACGCGCCTGGAAGCCCCACTTACCTGACCTAAATATTGAAGATATACATATTGTTTATTTGTTTTGTAAAAGAATTTATAGAACTTTTTAAAAAACTGTTTTTGCAAAATCTCGGGAACATAAATCCCCTCAATTTTATTTGAGAAATTCGTAAACTATTCAAAATTGAGAGCCATGTTCCCGAGATTATTGCATTACTATATTCTTTGTATGTAGATTATGTTTTATAATTAATCAGAATTAAGTAGCAATTGTACAATTGGCCAAACAAGATATATCGTCGTTCTTAAAACTTCATCAAAATTGTTAAAAAAAGTTAGAAGTAATGGATTAATGCTTGCTATACTCAATTTATGTTTTAATTTTTTTTATTCAAATGTAACCATTGACAGCTACACAGAACTTCAACAATCATTTTCTTATTTATTGTAATATTCGATAACTTTAATAGAGACTGGTTATGAAAATTGCATAGTAAGTAATATTCAAAATATGCTTTACACATTTTGATTTTTTTTATTTCATTGCGCCATATGATAATGCGTCTATTTTAAAAGATATTACAAATTGTCAACTATTGGATTACGAGTCGATTTTTGAATTTATTCAAAAAATTGAATATTAAATCGACTTTAAATAGATTATTTTCAAAAATTAATTTTAATATTCTTATTATTTATATACGTTCCAAATTTCCAGTTTTCTAATACTTTCAAACATTTTTCTATATGGAATAATGCATCGTTCACATTAATTGGTGAACCATATTCTAAATGATGAGCAGAGATTGAAATCATATTGTAACTCAAATAATTTACAACTTAAACAGAACCTGCCAGAGAATTTTTCAGGGAAAATTCGCTGTAACGCATTATTAACAACAGTATTGTCGGCCATTAAAAATGCATTTACAAATGTTTGATACCTACAGGAGAGAAAAGAAACTTAATCTTTTTGAAAATCCCTGGCGCATTCAATAAGATTTGTATGATTATCTGGAATAAATTTCCAATCAATTGTTGGGAACTTTGCTTTTGCTAATTTATTACTTATCAAGATTATGATATGCCTTCTCTTGCTTTTAGGCCTGTTTGTTAAAGCAGTTTCAGATGGTGTAATTTTATCTAATTCGAATTTTTCATGCAAGAACGTTTAAATCTGTAAGTGTTTGGCCCCCACTTGACTGATGTAAAAGGTTCTATTGCAAAACAATGGAAGTATATTCAGCCGAAATTATATTCACCTTTATTTTTTGGTAAATATATTCTTCGATCTGGTAAAAAGCCTAGAAGATCCAGGAGTGTATTATAGAGAAATGGCATTGAGAATACAATAATATGTATTCCTTCTAATTTTCTTCAGAATTAAAAATATGTGGAGTGAAAAAATCTTCAAATGAATGGCGCAAAATTATATGTTGCCCCATAAATATCCTGTAACAATAACCTCGCGGTAATGGCCTACAACACTTGCATTTGTAGCGTTCCTTTCAAAATCTGTTGGTTGGAAAATGGTGTTTTCATCAAGACCTACAGCACCATTAAAGCTAACATAATGCTCTTTCAAGTCTATAGTGTGTAGTCTGAAGATGTCTTGTAATAAAAGTTGTGTAGTCGTGTGTTTCTTTCGGTTTTCTATATGAGAAATGGTATTGCGTAGGATCTTCTATTTGTTTCATTTATATATCGTAATACTGGCCAATTTTTTCTAGAGGCCACATCAATTTGCGCTTAACTTTAAAGAATGATGCGGTGTCCAATCCGGAGTTTTCATATCCGAATAAAGCAAATTCTGGATTATAAGAATAAATTTCTAGGGCTACGAGAGAATGAACAACTTACTAGTAATTGAGAAAAGATCGCAAATAAACATACTCTGACACTCTAATATTAATTTCTGAATCGGTTTTACATCATTGAGCAATAATTATTTAAATTTGAAAAATTAAGGCTGTATATGTAAGATTCCTAAAGGGATCAAAACTCTGACATAGAAAAAATTATATTTTTTGAGATACAAATGGGTCGCGTTTGATCACTTGAATTAAATTCAATTTTTATATCACCTCAATCAATTATTTGTCTGCTGATAGAGTTGTTAGATTCCGACGATAGGTGTCTTGGAAGATTTGCTGGTGTCATCATAGTGTCTTTTAAATCAAAAATTTTATTTTGGAGTTAGTTTTTATTGATTTTTCAATAAAAAAACATTTTCTAAAACAAGAAAATAAAACGATAAAATATTTATTTTTATATAAGGATCTTATATATTTAAAATAAATATCATTTTATTTTTTTCATTGTGTCTGTCAAACTTCCTGCCATGGACTCTTTCATAAGTTCCATGAAATCGTCTTCGGACAATCTGGGGAAAAGTATTATGTCAGTAAGTATTCTTTTAACATCCTTACTTAAACTCTTTGCTGTTCTGTATCACAAATGACAACTGAGATGTTAACAGTGTCTTAGAAGC